GCGAACAATCGTGCCTCTGCGATGCCGAACTTTGAACAAACGGTGCGGTGCCTCGAAACGCGTGCGGTGCGTGCCGAAATTTGAACAGCGCGTGGAATATACCAATTGTTTCTCTAAATATTAACAGAATGTGCGTTTCATATATGGTGTATACATGCAATCACATAAAACGTGGGTGTACATACATGCATGCGAAATCTATCTGGTACGTGTGAGATCAACGTGTTCTGTCTACATATGTACATATATTGTATAGTGTAACATATATATATATGTATACATGGTTATATCGTGTATTGTAGATCGTAGTACACATATGTCACCTATACTGAATAGGCCATAAATACACGTGTGAAGTATGCAATGTATACATACATGGGATGTAAAAATGTATGAACTATGAGTTGTAGTACAAACTCTTGAACATCTACATAACACGCGGTCGCTTAAAATAGTCCGGCGACGTTCGCTTTAGTCCGGCGCGCTTAACTTAGTCCGGCGCCGCCAACTTAACCAACGCCGACCTCCTGGGTCCCCCCTCCCCCCCTCTTGCGCCGTGTCGTTTCGACTCCACGTTTCAAAAGGAATCAGCGTTCGCCTCTGGCCGAGTATATACTCATTGCATTCTCACGTCTGTTTGTGGGCCAGCGCGTGAAGACGGTGGCTGAGTTGATTAGACATATTGCTGTTGAAAAAGAAGAAGCGAAGGCCTCTCATCGATTTTCCGTTCTACAAAGAAAATAGAATCTACCCCCCGCGATTATCGCTCTCGCTCATCGTCCATCCTAAAGGTGAATTTGAACTCATACCATCCCAGCCCAGCCGGTATCGAACCCCCCCCCGCTATCGCTTCCCAAAAAAGTTCTACGCGCGCACACTCGTCCATCAAGAACCTGAAGGTTTCATTCGTTGTTTTGCTGAGCAGAAGAGAAGTGCGCACGCGCGCGTCGTCGCGCACGCATGCCGCAATCTTTGTTGTCCAACAAAAAACCTGGGTCCAGGAAGGCTTTCAAGCCCGAATATCCAGACCACATATAAAACAAAGCACGGCTTCGCAATATTGGCTATCAAACAACAGGTTGCGCGCGCGCCTTTGCGACTCCTCAAGAAAACATTAGTTTTCATCACTTTCACCAAATTCTACCAAACGGGCGTCGCGCGCGTCCTTTTTGCAAATAGTAAGACGAAATGCGCGCGCGCGTCGGCGTCGTCGAGCGCGCACGCCGAAATCAGTCTAAAACCTCGGGCGTCCAAAGCAGTATTTTCAAACACAGTTTCGCGACGTCCTTTTTCAAAGACGCGTGTGCTCGCGCTTTGTGATTTATATATATATATATATATATATAAATATACACATATATCCATGTGTGTGTGAGTTTGTGTATATATATATATACACATATATATATATATATCATATATATCATATGTATATATGTGTATATATATATATATATATATATATAGATATATATATATTATTATATATATATATATATATATATATATCTATGCATCGGAGTGGGGCCCGGGGGCGGCCCGGGGCGGTGCCTGTAATCTCCATGGGGGGTGCAGGGCGCCCCTGGGAGCGTCCGAAATGTCCCGGAGGGCCCCTGGGACCGCCAGGAACACTTCGAGACCGCTCAAGACGGCCCGCGAGCGCTCTAAGACGCGCATAGATAGCCTCAGGAATGGCCAGGAAGGCCCGAAGACGTTCCAAGAGAGCTCCATGAGGCCCCGAAGGCCTCCCAAGAGGCCTCCCAAGAGAGCCCCGACGAGCCAAAATCGTTGAGTGTTTTTGTTTTTCTAAGTTTTTGGCCTTCTCGTTTTTTCTGGGCTCCGACGCTCCAAGGCCGTCCAAGAGTCTCCCAAAACCGCTCCAAGACGGCCGAAGAGGCCCCCAAGACCGCCCCAAGACGGCCCAAGAGACCCCCACAATCGCCCCAAGACGGCCCAGGAGAGCCCCAAGATGGCCCAGGAGCCGCCCAAGACGGTTCCAGGAGTGCCCCGACAGGGCTTCAAGATTGCCTAAGCGAGCCCAGCGGTCCCCAAGAGGGCCCCGCGAAGCCCCAAGAGGCCCCAAAGAGGCCCCCAAGAGCCTTCCCGAAGGCCCCCAGAGACCCCCAAGAACCCAAAAATGGCCCTGAACGCGCCCCAAAACGCCTCCAGGAGAGCCCCACAGGCCTCCGAGAGGCCCCCAAGAGGCCCACTGGAGGCCCTCAGGAGGTCGTCCCCATCATGTTCCCGGAAGGCGGTCCGGGAACATGATTCCGCGCCTTGGAGGAGTGTCATGCGCCTTCCGAGGCGCCTTGGACGACGTACGCATGTTTCTATAGAGTGTCCTTCTCCTGTGTACACAATCCTACATGAATTACGTATGTATGTATGTATGTATGTATGTATGTATGTATGTATGTATGTATGGATTCATGTATTTATGTATGTATGTATGTATGTATGTATGTGTATGTATGTGTATGTATGTATGTGTATGTATGTACGTATGTATGTATGTATGTGTGTATGTATGGATGTATGTATGTATGTATGTATGTATGTATGTATGTATGTATGTATGTACATGTTATATATATATATATATATATAGAGAGAGAGAGAGAGAGAGAGAGAGAGAGAGAGAGAGAGAGAGAGAGAGAGAGAGAAAAAGAGAGAGAGAGAGAGAGAGAGAGACGTGAATACCCCTCGGGCCCTACTCGCCCGCCAGCGAATGCCCGCACGTGCCCCTGCAACCGTGCGGCTCAAGTCCGAGAGGCCCGCCGCGCGGGCGGCGCATGGACGGGCCGCCCTCGCTCTGGGCGACGTTCGCGGCCGCCTGGGGTGCGACGCTGGGCGCCTGCTGGTCGTGGGGCCGGGCAACGCCCGTGGCCCCGGCCTGGCACCCGGCGCCGCCGCCATCTTGCGGCGCGGAGGAGTTGCCCTTGCTCCTGCGACCAGGAGCTCCGACACACCATCGACCTCCAGGGCGAGATCGTGGCCCTCCAGGCGGAGGTCTCGATGCTCCGGTGCCTGCTGCTGGTGCTCGGCCTGGCGACCTCCCGCGCTGGAGCGCTGGGGTTCCTGGCTGGCTGGTGTCGGCGCAGCTGCTGCGGCGGGCGCGGACGGGGGCCCGAGGGGAACCCCAGGCGCGGGGAGCCGGCGGCGGCCTCGCCAGAGCCCCAGCCGCCGGCGGCGGCTCCCTTGAGGGCGGCGCCGTGCCGAGCACCCCGGGCCGGCGCCATGACTGACGCACTCACTGGCGAAGATGCAGGGCCAGCTGCTGGGGACCGGCCAGGTCGACGCAGTGGGTCAGACGGTCCGGGTGATCGCGGAGGCACGTTCCGTGAGGTTCAGTGAGGTCGTGGACACAGCACTGGTGGACGACGACGCCCTCGGCACAGGCTTCGACACGCATGGCGTGGCAGTGCTGGGCGGCGGAGGGTTCTTGGTGCAGAAGAATGCGGCGAGCGGAATGGCGAACTTCAAGAAGGAGACGGTGACCGACCTCGGCGACATCCACGCGCTCGCTGACCACACGGACGACACGGGGCAGAGGGTCATCCACCTGACGGAGACGGTCGCCCTCTGGCGCGGCACCGAGCAGAAGGGCTTCCTCCTGGCCGACATCAGGAGCGCGAGGACGTCCCTGGACAGCGTCGGGGCAGGGCCGGGCAACATGACCTCGCACCAAACGGAGTGGGGGCGCCTCAGCGGCGTAGGCGAGGGTCGGCCGTCGACCACGTGCATCGAAACGTGTGCGAGGTGATCCGTCTCATGCGTTCCTGGGACCAGGTCGACCTCTCGATGATGGCGTCGGCTGGGCTGATCGAGCGCTGGCTGATCCAGGCGAAGATAGCGGTGGAACGGATCCCTCGGCGGCCCGATTACAGTGGCCTCAACATAGTGATATCAACGCCGGTCAACGCCGTGAGTCGCGCCTCGGCCTCGAAGTTCAACTCGTGGGTCACCGACCGCCTCAAGGAAAGGGCCGCCATCTGGAAGCAAGAGCGGCTCTACCGTGAGGGGCAGACGCAGGCGAGGAAGGGCGGCGGCGAGAAGGGCGGGGTGGACGACGAGAAAGGCCCGAATAAGAAGAAGAAGAAGAAGAAGAAGAAGGGGAAGGATGCCGGCGCCGGGGGCGGCGCAAGCAACGAGGGATGACGCCTTTCGGGGCTGCGGGGGCGCCGGCGCCGGCAGCCCGGGCGCCGACGAAGCCCCCCCGCAGCCGTCAACAACGTGGGCCCGCCACCTCCGCGTCTGGAGGGGTCGGGGCGCGAGATCGACAGCATGGAGACCCGTTCCCTCTGCCTCGAGATGCCGCTGCCCTCGGCGATGCATGCGATCTTGCGCGGCTACGGCAAGTTTTTGATTCGGTTCGGGCTTTCAACCAGCTTGCCGCCGCCAACCTGAATTCGCGACGTGCCCAGGGGCATGATCTTCCACCTGAAGGGCACCTCCGACCCACCGCCGTGCAGCGCTGGATGCTCCAGAATGTCGCCCAGCGGTTTTGAGGCGTACGGGGATTGCCTTGCTGACCTTACCGAGGAGTCATCCCTGCCGGAGATCCTCGACTCTAGAGACCACTGCGGCATGGGGCCCAAGAGCTTGGCCAGCTTCGAGTTTGACAAGGTCAGGATCCTGCGTCGGAGGTTTCACGCGCGACCCATTCGCCGCGAGCTCCCTCCTGCAGCGCTCGGCTACCTCCGGCACTCAGCCGATCTAATCGAGATGGATGAGGCGGAGCTTGAGAAGGATCGATCCGAGAGCGCGGGGTTCTCGCCCTACTGGGACCCCAAGCTTCGGCGCTCGCGAGACCTACGGAGGCGACTGTACCAGCGCTTGCGCCAGCAGTGCTTGCTGACCTGGCGCCGGCGGCTGAAGGGGCGCGCGGGTATCTTCGTGGTCAAGAAGAAGATGGGCTCCAGAGGCTGATCGTCGACGCCCCAGCGGCCAATCGGGCGCATCGCCCGCCGCCCACCGCGCGACTTGGGTCCTCGCGCTGCATGGCCGACCTGGACCTCTCTGGCCCCAGGCTGAAGGCCTCCGGCTTCGGCGGCCTCGGCTCGGGGCCCGCGGCGAGCCCGCGCGGGGAGGAGGGCGACGTCGGGGGCTGCTTCTATTACTACACGCTCCCCGAGCTCGCCCCCTGGTTCTGCTTCGAGGGCCACTTCGACACCTACGAGCTGGAGGACACGGGGCGCCGGCCGGCCATGATCTGGGACGACGCCGAGGGGGCGGAGGCCAAGGTCGAGGCCGGCGAGGTGCTCTACCCGTGCATGGCCGCTGTCTGCATGGGCTGGTCGTGGGCCTTCTTCTTCGCCAACGAAGCTGCCACCCACCGTGTGGAGCGGACTTTGGACGGAGGTGCTGACCAGATCATGCGGGAGATGCAGCCTGCTCCAGTTTTGAAGCCTGGCAAGTGCGTGGCCGGCGCGTGCGTGGACAACGCGCAGGTCATCGGTGGCTGCGCAGGCGACGCCGGGAAGCAGATGCATGAGATTGAGAAGAGCTTTTGTGAAGATAACAAACCTTTTGACGTGGGGCCTCGCGACGGTTTTGAGATGCAGTCGCTGGGCCTGGTGTGCCACTGGCGCGACCGACGGCTGCGACATGTTCCCCGCCGCGTCTGGCGGACTTGCTGCGTCGTCGCAAACTGCACGGGCACGCCCTGCAGCGCTGGCTCGGCCACGCGGTGAACTTGAACCAGCTGTGCCCGGAGGCCATGTCCGCGCTGAGCGCCTGATGCCGCTTCATCGAGGAGGCCTGGGAGGTACCCAGGCGCGCGTGGCCGTCCGTGAAGTCCGAGATCCGCTGTGCGATGAACCTCTTTTTCCTGATGGAGGCCGACCTGGGCGCCACCTTCTCCAACGAGGTCTACTGCGGTGACTCCTCCACCCGAGGCTACGCCCTCCACGTGACGAAGGCCGAGCCCGGCGAGTTGCGCGAGGCCTGGAGGTGGAGAGAGCGCTGGCGCTACCGCGACATCCCCGTGCAGGAGGGCCACATGACCGACGGCCTCGGCCACGTGCGGGGCGACGCGCCCGGCCTCGCGGCGGAGCCGCGCACGGCCTTCGGCCAGGCCCGTCGGGCCCGAGCCGACGACCTGCGCCTCGGGTCGCCTTCGGCGGCCGCGCCGCCGCGGCGTCCTCGGGTCAAGGTCGACCTGGGCGCGGGGGCCCCTCGCCTGGCCGACGGCTGGACCGGGCGCCAGCGCTGCCAGCTCGTCGCGGCGGACCGCTGGCGCTGGCAGGAGGAGTACATCAATCTGAAGGAAGCTCGGGTGGCCTTGATGGGCCCACGGCGTCACTGCCGCACGGCGGGGCGGCTGGGCGCGGAGCTGCTCACCCTCAGCGACAGCCAGGTGACCGTGGGGGCCTATGAGAAGGGCCGCTCCAGCGCAGGGCTGCAGACGCTGTGTCGGCGAGCGGCAGCGTACCGCCTCGGCGGCCAGATCGCATGGCGGCTCCGCTACATCGAGACGGATCGGAACCCGAGCGACCAGGACTCGCGCCGCTGGGGCACGAAGCGCGCGGCGGGGTCGGCGCGCTCGTCGGGCGGGCTGGGCGTCGCCTCGCTTCGAGCCCGAGGACCGGGCGGCGCTCTTGCTGTCGCGGCGAGCTTGGCTGTCGATCGGCCGTGCTCCGAGGGGTGCAAGACGCAACCTCCCTCCTCTCCGTCGCCTCCATCGTCGGCATCACTATCATCTGCTTCCCGCCCGACAATTCAGAGCGAGCCTGGTAAGTCAGTTTTTTGTTTGGAGCTCTTTGGTGGTCTGGGGCGGTTGACTTGGGCCTGCAGGAGGGTTGGGCTTCCCTTCGCCGACCCCGTGGACATGAAGGACGTCTGGGAGTTCGATTTGTCTCGCAGAAGCACGCAGGACTTTATCTTGGATCTGGCCCGCAGCGGCCGACTACTATATGTACATATTGGGACGCCTTGTTCAGTCTGGAGCATTGCGCGCCGGGGAATCAAGAACCACGCGCGAGCGCGGGCCAAGGAAAAGCTGGGGGTCGAGTTCGCGCTCTTCACGGCCACTCTCTGTCACATATTATCTCGCAGGGTGTGCTACTGGAGCGTCGAGAATCCCAGGACTTCGAGACTGTGGAGTTTCGAGCCCGTCGCTCGACCTCGAGGGCTGCCCGCCGCCATCGAGGTGAATTTCGATATGAGTATGTTTGGGGCACCCTACCGGAAGCCTACTAGGATCCTGACGAACGCGGGGGCCCCGAGGGCCCTGGGGGAGCGACCCCGCGTCTCGCACAAGCACGCGGTCATGCTGCACGGGCGCCTCACACCCCAAGCTGCCGCATATCCGTCATCGTTGGGCGCATGCTGGGCTGGCATTTTGGCGGCCGGTCTTCCCCGGGGAGCGCTCGCCCGCGCCGTCGACTTCGACCCTCAGGAGCTCCGACATGGGCTCCTCTGGGCAGCGGGCCGTCAGCCGACGCCTAGTGAAGCGGCAATGCGCGGCGAGGGCAACGAGCTCGCCGGCGACGCCTGCAGAGCCGCCGACGATTTCTTCGGGGCAGACCCCGCCATCCAGTTCGGTCAGGACAAACGCCCCTAGCGCTGGCGGGCCCACGCGCGCTGGCAGGCAGCCGCCGCCGGGCAGCGGGCGGCCTCGCCAGCCGTCGGCGGCGCGCCACGGGGGGGCCCTCCGGGTCCAGAGGCGCGACACGCTGGTCATAGCGACAATGGCGAACGACACTCTCAAGCGGTGCGCGGCTGCGGTGCGCGAGCTCGAACTCCACGCGAAGGCCAAGAAGCTCGACCTGCAGCCGCTGAGCTGCCTCAACGACTCCCTGCTCCCGTACTTCGTAGACCCGTTCGACGACGGCTTCGACGCGTGGGAGGGCCGCAACACTTTCTACTGCTACAGGCGCCCGCGGTTCCCGGCGACCGACACCATCGTAGACAACATCGCGCTGGACCTGGTGGATCACATCATGCCGCTCCTGGGCGCCGCGGTGGTGCTCGAGATGGACGCCAACCCCCTGCCCTCCGGGACCGTGGAGCTCCGACCAAGCCAGATCCTGCCGCCCGCGCCGGCCGCGAAGCCTGGCGTGCACTTTGGCGCAGTCATCGCGCCCTCCAACTGGCACGAGACGACAAAGACAGGCGGCCAGGACGACAGCACGCTGAACAGAAACGCGGCGCATCCGTGGCTGGCGAGAGTGACGAACCTCCTCTTCAAGCCCAAGGCGCCCTACCCTCAGAGGCTATTCACATTCACCCTGGTCACCCTGCCCGAGTTCGAGCGCGCGGTCAAGCGCAGCATGGACCGCCTGGGCTACGCGCCCCTCAAAGTGTGCCCTCGCGTCTTCAGGCGCAGCGGAGCCTCGAACAACAAGGCCCGCGGTCGCCGGACGTAGAGGGAGATTTAGCAGCGCGACCGCTGGGCAGCGCCCGCTTCGGTGACCCGCTACAAGAAGGTTCTGACGGGCCCACCAGTACGTAATACGGGTATGGGCGAGAGGTGCTTGGAAGGCTCGCACCTCGAGATGATTGATTCGGCATGCTGCAGGCCTGAGCATTACGGATTATTTTGTCATGGTGTGAATGAGAACTGATCCACGCTATATCCTACAGCTTTGCTGGATATGCATGTCTGGGCGAGGTCTTAGGGCTGTCTTGGGGTGTGTGTAGTCAGAGACGTGAATACCCCTCGGCCCCTACTCGTCCGCCAGCGAATGCCCGCACGTGCCTCTGCAACCGTGCGGCTCAAGTCCGCCCACCCTCGTCCACACTCGAGCTAGTTGCACTGCTCGTTTATTTGATGCAACCCGCTGGGGCGAGAGGTGCTTGGAAGGCTCGCAACTCGAGATGATTGTTTCGGCATGCTGTAGGCCTGATCATTATGGATTATTTTGTCATGGTGTGAATGAGAAATCATCCGCACTATATCCTACAGTTTTGCTGGGTATGCATGTCTGGGCGAAGTCTTAGGGCTGTCTTGGTGTGTATATACATATATACATACATATATACATATATATATATATATATATTATATATATATATATATATGTATGGGGAGGGGGTCCTGAACCAGGGGGGGGGGGGCCTCATTTTGCCCAGTGGCTGTGCCCCCCCCCGCCGGAGACGCCAGGGCGCTCCCCGGGCCCTTTAGAATGGCTCCAGGACGCCCTCAGGACAGCCCAAGAGAGGTCCGAAGCGGCCCGGGAGCACTCCAAGACGGTTAAAAAACTGCCAAAGCGTCCCAGCAGGGCTCCGACAGCATTCTCGGGAGGGGCCCAATTGGAATGTGTCACTGATTTTTGTGGGTTTTGAAGGGTTTTGGCGTTCTCCCAAGTTCGGCTTCCAGACGCTCCAAGGCGGCCCAAGAGGCCCGAAATATCGCCTCAAAACGAGCCCAGAGGCCCCCAAGAGACCACCGAGACAGCCCAAGAGGGCCCCAAGACGGCCCAGGAAGCTTCCAAGACGGCCCAAAGGAGCCCCCACAACACTCCAAGAGGAGCCCCAGATGGGGAACACGAACTGACATTTCGAGCCCTCGCCCACCAGAAGCTCCCAAGAGGCCCCCAGGAGTCCGCAAGAGGCTTTGAGAGGCCCTCAGGAAGCTCCAAGAGGCCTCCAAAAGGCGCCGAAAGGGCCCCGCAAGCTTCCAGACGCTGGTGATAATGACAATGATGATTATGCAGGGCGGCCTCAGGCCCACAACCTAAATCCCCAATACTGCTCACGCGGCATGCAAGACGCTGCGGAGATTTCCTCGAGATATCCTCGAGTTCGGAAATGATGACGATGATGACGACTATTACGAACTTGGCGACGACGATGATGATGATGATGATGATGATGATGATGATGATGATGATGATGATGATGATGAGGAAGAAGATTATGATGATGATGTTGGCAGTGGGAATGAAGATGATGCTGATGATGCTGGTGATGTTGATGATGGTGATCGTGATGTGAGTGATGGTGATGATGATGTTGGTGGTGATGCTGGCGGTCATGATGACGACGGTGATGCCGTCGAGGATGGTGACGCTGACGATCATTATGATGATGCTGCTGATGGTCAGGATGATAACGCCGATGCCGATAATAATGGTGGCGATGTTGCTTATGGTGCTTGTGATGCAGGAGTGGGCGGATGATGAAGATGATGACGATGATGATGACGATAACGATGACGACGATCACGACGACGACGATAATGATGACGATGGCGATCATGAGGATGATTATGTTGATAATTCAGGTGCCGATATCGACGATGATGACGACGATGGCGATGATGACGTTGGTGATGACGATGTTGATGCTGATGGTGGTGATGGTGACGATTGTGATGATGGTGATGGTCATGGTGATGATGACGATGCCGCTGACGATGACGCCGGATACGATGGTGATGAGGATGGCGATGATGACGATGACGATTATTTTAGCTAGAACTTGAGCGCGCGCGCGCGAAGCGCGCGCGATGCTTCTAGTACATATGTATGTATGTATGTATGTATGTATGTATGTATATTTATATACATATATATATATATATATATATATATATATCGGAGGTTTGGGGGTGAGATCGAAGTGGAACGGAGAGCCCCCCTACCAGGAAATCGATTTCGGTTTCGTGTTCGTGCGTGCCGTGCGGGCGAGGCGAAGCTGCGTGGGCGGGCGAGAGGAAAGTCTCCTGTGGCTGAGGCGCGGCCGGACCACATGATTCTCCGCCGGGCGGCCGGTGGCGCGCGGTGTCCCGCCGGTGTCCCGCCGGTGTCCCGTCGGTGTCCCGTCGGTGTCCCGATGATGATGTTGATGATGATTATGATGATGATTATGATGATGATGGTAATGATGATGATGAGATGATGTTGATGATGGCGCTGATGATGATGATGTTGATGTTGATGATGATGATGATGATGATGATGATGATGATGATGATGATGATGACGTCGATAGTGATATCGATTGTGAGATCGGTAGTGAGACCGAATGAGACAGCGAATGATGTCTTCTCTCAGGTTCTCCTCCACCAAAGACGATTTAGTCAGCGAGTTTAGTCAGTGGCGACATGAGGGGCTTCAGCAGGCCTCCGACAAAAAAATCTCCACTGGCATCGTCAGGAGAACAATCACCACTGTTGCCAATTGCTCGGCCCCTCCACCCCCCCCAACCTCCTTATCACCCGTAGGGTGGTCGTATAGGTATATATATATATATATATACATACATATCGGCACACCGGACTCGGGGGCCGAGGGCCGGAACCTCGACCACAAATGTGGGGACCGGGGCCCGGGCCCGCCTCTGGGCCCCGGGGAGCCTTCAGAAAGCAATCCCGGCGGCCCGAGGCGGTCTCGAGACACCCCTAAGATGCCGTCCAGGGGTCTCCGGCGACGCACGATGCGTTTTAAATTGCCCCGGAGGCCCCCAAGACCCCCCAAAACGCCCAAGAGCACCCCGAGAGGGCAAAATCGTTGATTTTGATTTTTTTTTTCTCATGTTGTTTGAGTTCTCGCTGTTTTCGTGTACCCGGCGCGAAAACACCGCCCAAGATGCTTCCAAAGCCGTTCCAAGACGGCCCAAGGGCCCCAAGACGGCCCAAGAATGCCCCGAGACGGCCCGAGAGCCGACCAAGATGGCGCAAGAGGGTCCCAAGAAGGCCCCAAAAGGGGCCCAAGAGAGGGAACGCGAACCAAAAAAATTCAAGTTCTCCGCCCCAACATGCCCCCAACATGCCCCCAGGAAGCCCCCAAGAGGCCCCAAGAGGCCCCCAAGAGGCTCCAAAAGGCCCCAAGAGTCGGCCAAGAAACCCAAAAGGGGCTCCAAGAGGCCCCAAAACGGCACCCAAAAGGCTTCAACATTCTTTGTAAGGGGCCCGCGAAGACATGCCAATAAGGTCCCATGACGACTTCAAGAAGCTTTCCAGGACGCTCCGAGGAGGCCCCAAGAAGCTAGAGCTAGAACTTGAGCGCGCGCGAAGCGCGCGCGATGGTTCTAGTATATATATATATATATATATATATATATATATATATAGATTCTCATACGCACCTTTCCGAGGGAGTAGAGCTCAGAGGCGATGAATGCGTTCGCGGGGCGCCGCGTCCGCGATTTTTCTAGCCGTTTCGCTAGGGACGTCCTCGAAATTCTGAAAATCGGCTCACGCAGATCGTGACTTCAGGATCCAAAAACACATGGGAATTTCAACATGTTTTCATGAAACCTTCAAAAACACATTGTAATTTCAATACTTTTGACCCCGATTCTCAGGGAATGGCGGTTTCGCCTGAAACATCCTCCCCCGCATCCCCGAGGCGCTGCCTGTGGAGATCGCCCGCTATCAGAATCAATGTGTACACGGCTTGCACGTTGATTATGTTTGTCGTTGCCTCTGGAAAGCGCACGTAGGCAAAATCAATGTGTAAATTGATTTCAAATTGATTTGATCGTGGGCAATTCAATTTGATGGTTGTTGTTGAAATCAATGAAAACGTCTCGGTTGCAATCGCATGAACGGCGGGCCCTGCGGGACCCCTCCCTCCCCGCAAGGCCCCCTCTCCCCCGGGACTTTCCGTGGGGAGTTCCGCGGTGGTGGCTCCCAGCATGGGGGGGCGGGGGGGGGGAGGGGTCTTGAGTGTCCCCTCCTAGAGGAAAGAGATCTATGCACACACACCGATTCTGGCCAGGCCCATCCTGAGCCCAGGATCGGTGCATACGCCCTCCTGCCTTGGCCAGGAAGGCATATGCACCGATCCTTGGTCTAGGATGGGCCTTGCCAGGATCGGTGCATGTGCATAGTTCTCTTCGCCCGAGGCCCTCCCTGTCCACTCATCGCCCCCCGTCCCCCTCGTCCACGGGGCGCCGCCCCGGGGGGCTGGGGGTCGCGACCCTTGGGGCCCCCCCAGGGTCCCCAGGGAAGGGATCACCGGGAAGGGCCTTCTCCGCTTCGAGCGAATGAAAGCGTTGTCTGATTTCTATTCGGCTGGATCGTCTGAGGAGGACGGGGGCGGCGACGGCGACCGCGACGACGAGGACGCGCGCGGAAAACATGTCACACGCCGACGGAGTCGGCGGATTTGAAGAGGAAGCAGGGGAGGATGTTGGAGAGGTGTGAGAAGATGAAGGAGGAAAAGGACGAGGAGGAAGGCAAGGAGGGCGGGATGGAAGGAAGAGGAACAGGAGGAGGGGGATGAGGAGGGAGAACGAAATGCGAAGAGCGGAGCCGGCGTTGAACCGGGGCGGCAGGACTGAGGATGTGGGTTCCCTTGTGTCCGCGGCTGCGGGTTGGGCCGCGTCTTGTGTCACCCCCTCCACCCCTTTCCCTCCCCTCCTCGGTGACCCCGCCACCATCAGCAACAAACGCCAAGGCTTTCCCTGTTGGGTTTCAGCGGGGCCTGAGGCCTCAGGCTCGCACCAGTCGGCAGGAGGCCATGTTGATTTCGTCAGCGGCTCCACTTCATTGGCACGCCCATCTCTTCCTCTGATTGCCGCGGGGCTCACCCCAACTCTCCTCGCACTCCTCCTTTCCTCGTCTTTCCGACACAGAGAATAAACAAATCAAGCGCGCCCCTTTCACCTCGCAGGAGCCAGCGGGGCCCGCGACTGCGAAGCTGTCGCTGAGGCCGCGCCTCCCCCCCCTCTTGTGGCCGCGCATTGTGCTTTGGGTGCTCGTGCTTCCGAGAAGGGAATTACTTGCAATTCGGGAACATCCAGGAGGGGGATGATGACTTGGGGGATACATGAATATCACGGGTCCGTTTCCGCCTGTCGACGTCCCCGAAAATCGATCCCCCAGGCGATGGTGATGGCTAAGGCTTAGCCTCACGCAGCTCGGGCCTTCGTTTACAGCCGGTTTGTATCGTGTCGACGCGGCGGCGACCCGGCCCCCGAGTATCGCGCCGCCAGTGGCCCAGAATCGTCCCATGTGGAGCGATCTGGTTGTCGCAAGGCCGCTGGTTGTTCAAGATTGACCGGTCCACGCGGTGTCAGAGACCACCGCGCATGTTGTCGCGACATGGTTTCACCATGGGTATCCATGTCGAGGCCAGGGAGAGGAGGAGGAGGAGGAAGAGGAAGAGGAGCAGCAGCAGCAGCAGGAAAAGGAAGAGGAAGTGGAGGAGGAGGAGGAGGAGGAGGAGGAGAGGAGGAGGAGGAGAAGGAGGAGGAGGGCTCTGAGGGCTCTGATGATACGAGTCTATCCTTGAGACCCCCGGCGCACAGGCCACGCCAGGCCGATGCCTAGCAGCGAAACGCTTACTGAGGACCGAGCCTATGCCCAGCCCCTGGATGGCGCCAGGCCGATGCCTGGCGCCTGCAAAACTGGGCGGGACGCACGCCAACCTAGGCCAGAGCCAGCTCAGCGTCACACCTGGGGTGAAGCCCGCCCTAGCATCCCACTACTGGGACGCCTGGGCGAGCGAGAGCCTGAACACGAACGACTCGATGGCCAGCAACGCCATGCGCATGGCCTCAGGCGTGCTGGCTGCGTCGAGCGCGTCCTGGAGCCTCCTGCCCTCAAGAAAGTCCTCCAATGAGAACTCCAGGTCGTCCCCCGCCTCGAGGAGGGACGGGAAAGCTGGGAGGGCAGGCAGCTCCTGCTCTGTCTCTGTATGGTCTCGATCGTCACGACCCTGGCCCGCGAAGGCCTGGCTACGTCCACGCCCGAGGTTCACTTGGCCTCCACCAGGGTCCTCGGGCGCCTGAGCCGCACCAGGCTCTCCTCCGCGCTGGACAGGGACTTCTCGGCCTGTTGGATGAGCGCCTTCACCCTGTGGCGCGCCTCCTCCGTGCCCGTGTGCAGGGCGGGCTGCAGCGACTGGATCAACTCCTGCAGGTTGTCCTTGGTCGTCTGCTGCTTGCTGGCCATTGCATCGATGTGCTCCAGCTGCGAGCCCTTGTCCGCCGTGTTCAGCAGCTCCTCCTCCGTCGGCTCGCTGAGCTCCATCGCCGTGGCCTGCTTCCCCAGGAACTTGCGTTTCAGCTTGAACTTCTTGAGGAAAGAGTTCTTCCGCACCGTCACCTTTGGACAGGTCGAAGAACTCGCAGCCGTGGCCGACACCAGCTGTTTCTTGGGAGGCTTCGAGCGCTCGAACTCCTCCCTGTTGGCCTTGCGGATGGCCGCCATCTGCTTCTCCCTGATGGGTGACGGTGGCGGCCTGAAGCAGAACGAGCACTGCACCCTGAAGCCGAAGAGCACCACCCTCTTGTTCAGCCTCTTGGCGCAGTCCTCGCAGTTCCACTTCTCGATCTTGGCGTCCTTGAGCTTCCACTCCTGAGACCCGTCGATCTGCCCCTTGAGGTTCGCGAAAGGGGTGCGACGCACTGGTCCTTCAGCTTCTTCTTCTTCTTTTTCTTCTTCTTCTCCTTCTTCTTCTTCTTGAGCAACTTGGTGCCCTCCTTCTTGTCCGCAGCAGGCTTGGACGACTCCACCTGGCGCCACGGAATCTTCATTCGCACCGGCGGTGGGGGCTTCGGCAGCCACTGACCCCCAACCCTGATCCTCCTCGGAGGCGTTCGCAAGCGGTCCGCAGGCGCCTTGTCCTGCATGCTCCGCTGGGACTGGATGGGCTGCGTGTCCTCCTCCGAACGAGGCCGCGTGGCAGACGACGACTTCGGCATCGTGGACCCTCGCGGCCTCTAAGAAGGCGCCGAATCTGAACCCGAAGTCCGAGCCGAAGAAGTTCTCCGCAAGAACCGCAGGCTCGGCATCAGGCCATCGCCATGGCTCGCGACAGCTGCGCCGCTCTGAATCGCGCTGCCGCACGCCCCAATGGGCCAAAGCGGCTAGAAGGAGGAGGAGGAGGAGGTGGAGGAGGAGGAGGAAGGAGGATGAAGAAGAGGAGGAGAAAGAGGAGGAGGAGGAGGAGGAGGAGGAGGGGGAGGAGGAGGAGGCGGAGGCGGAGGCGGAGGCCGAGGCCGAGGCCGAGGCCGAGGCCGAGGCGGAGGCGGAGGCGGAGGCGGAGGCGGAGGCGGAGGCGGAGGAGGAGGAGGTGGAGGAGGAGGAGGAGGACGAATAATAATAATAATGATAAGAATAATAATAATCATAAGAACAAGAATAATAATACTTGTCAGGATAATACTAAGAAGAATAAACTTAAGAAGACGAGTACGACACATAACAATAATAACATTAATACTGATAATTAAAAGAATAATACGAAGCAAATGAATCATCACAATAATAATGATGAGACTTGTTTAATAACAAGAAGAAAAAGGAGGAGGAGGAGGAGGAGGAGGAGGAGGAGGAGGAGGAGGGGAGGAGGGAGGAGGGCCTGTCGAGGTAGCGGCGGAGAGGAGGGGCAGGTGGGGAGGAGGAGAGAAGAGGGAGAAGGAGGACGAGGAGGAGGACGAGGAGGAGAAGGAGGAGGAGGCGGAGGAGGAGGAGGAGGAGGAGGGGCTTCGGCACCAACGCGCCCCACTTGGGTGCGCCTCAACCAGAACCAGAACCAGGAGGGGGAGGAGGAGGAGGAGGAAAAGGAGGAGGAAAAGGAGGAGGAGGAGGTTGCGGAGGAGGATGTGGAGGAGGAGGAGGAGAAGAGCAGGAGGTAAAACCTGGGAGGGGTCCAGGGGGCGATTTCGAAGGGGCACGAGCCAGGCAGGAGAGCCGCCGACGCTTCGCGTAACCCCATCAGCCCGTCCAGAAACGATGCCCAGACGAGTTGCCCTGGTCAGGGATCTGGAGGAGCATGCGGTGGAATAAAGGGTTGGCTAAGACTAAGAGGGGGAGGATGAGGGAAAAATGAGAGGAGCAGGAGGAGGAAGAGTTGGCAGATGGGGAGGGGTATGAGGGAGGAGGAAGGAGGAATGAGAAGGAATGGGCGGGCGAGGCAGAGAAGGAGGAGGGCGAGCAGAAAGGCCTGAGTCCTTTTAGATGCCTCTCAGAGTCTCTTCAGATGTCTTTCGAGAGCTTATAGGAGTCCTCTTGGGGCGTCTTTGAGGGTCTCTTGTCAGTTACGAGGGCCGCATGGGGTGCCTTCGGTGCCTCTGGGGAGCCTATTGGGGCCTCTTGGGGGCATCTCCGGGGTCTCTGGAGCCCTCTTGGGCACCTCTTGGGGCCGTCTTGGAGCACCCTTGGGAGTCTCGGGGGGCCGTAGTCAAGTATCTTCCCAGGGGGCAATATGACCAAAATTGTAGTAACATCGGTGATTGTGACTTCCCCGCCGAGGCCGTGTTGAACGCCCCAACTACTCGCGAAACGCACTACCCAGATCCAAAGGAAGGGGGTAGCGGAATAGGTAAACCCCTCCCAGGAATAGGGATGACGGAAGAGCAAACGTTCTAAACCGTTCACGCCTGGAGGGCTGGTGGGATGGTGAGTTTTGTCCGCCGCAGTCTCACTTACTCTAGATTTGTTTCTCTTCTTCGCTTGGAGCCACATGCTCAGTCACACGCAGACCCACTCACTCTTAGAGTCGTTGACACTCATTCTCATCCATGCACAACCATAGCCAACTCACAATCAAATTAGGCATCATCGCTTCTTCAATGTGGATTGATCCACTCACGGATCCAATACATTTTTTTCTCATTGATTCCATTCCATGCGTAGCAGGGTCTCCCCCCACTTTCCGACCCACGCGCACACCGTAGCCATTTTGGCTCGAGCCTTCTGGAGCCCGTCGTAGTCTGAGCAGGACGAGGGCCCCGCGGCTTGGGCTCGGCCGGGTCTTGCGCGGGAGGTGCGGGGCGCGGTTGCCGCGTTCTTGCGGCAGGTTGCTGGCGGGCGGCTGGCTGCCCGCTGGGAGGCACTGTGGCATGCTGGCCGTTGCTGGACGTGGTGCTGCATCGATGGGCGCCGCCCGTCGAGGCGCCGCCCGCGGGCGCGCTGGGCGCGTCGACAGAGGCGCGGTGCGGGCGGTCCTTACAGCTGCCGAGGCGGGAGCCCCGTGGGGAGGGCATGGCTGCGGGCCCCACGGCCGAGGAGCAGGCGTCGCAGGGGCAGGCGCCGAGGCTCGAGTCCCCGCCTCTTGATCCCGTGCGAGCAGCAGGGGGCCGTGAGGTGATGGGCTCATTGGCCAGCTCATGGGGAGCGGCGTGGCGGAGCAGAGAGGCCGCATGTCCGAGGACGCAACCGTCCCGGAGGCTCCTCGGGTCGCGGAGAGCTGGTGGCGGCTGCCGAGGCGCCTTGCCAAGGCGCGGCTGCCTCGCGGCCGCGAGGGCCGCCGCGACCGCGCGGCGCAGTTCTCGGCGCTCACTAGCAGCGGCGGCGGCAGCGGCAGCGACCCCGAGGCGGTGGATGAAGGCGGTGGTGGTGGTGGCATGACCGAGGTCGTGCCCGCCCCGCGCGTCGCGGCCCGAAGCCCTCCCGTCGCGGACTGGGAGGTGCACATCAGCGTGGAGGCCAGCCACGCGGGCGGGATGGGTGTCGTCGCAGTGGTGCTTGCTGAGCGGGTGGAGCGCGAGAGCGAGGTCCTCGCGTCTCTGAGCAGTTGGACGAGGTCGCCCAGGTGAGCGAGCAGGAGTTGCAGGGCGAGCCCGAGGCCGCCGTCCAGGGCGAGCTCGTGCAGGGGCCTTCCTGATGGTACGGGTATGCGGCGCGGCCGTGGAATGTCGCCGCGCGAGGATGCGCGGCGAACGGCGGCCGCCTGCATCGCGCGCTGGTGGCACCTCGTGCGTATCCTGGCCCTGAAGGCCGAGAGGGCCGCGCTCCGAGCGCAGAAGGCGAAGGAGGCGTCGAGAGTCGAGGGAGAGTCTTGCCTCGTTCGCCAGGCTGCGTGCAAGGCGAGCGAGGTGAGCCTCCGAGCCAGGTGGCGTTGCCGTGTCTGTATGTTGGTTGCACTTGGTTTGAATAGTTTCGAAAATTCGCGAGTGCTCAGTCTGGCCTGGAGGGGCTGCTGCGGTAGCCTAGCTGTTTGTTTGGGGGCATTGGCCGTGGGCGCGTGGGTAGCCCGCCAACAAACTCCTTATCGCGCTCGCTCAGCCAGACTCATTGGCACACGTACTCATTCATACTCAGACTCATTCGCACTCAGGGTCACCCACACCATGCAACTTGTAGCCAGGCTACCTCGTATCCGGACGTGCTCATATTCGAAATGTTCATGGACATTATACTTATCAGACTTCCATGATCACCGTGATGTAGCAGGCAGATCACTCGGGAGCCCCAAGGAGGGCCCGCCAAGGAGTATGGCATTTTCCGTTCGCGCCAACATTCTGTGGATGATGCCCTTGACCGCGCTTCCTGTCGAGAGTCTCTTGATCACCGCGGTGTAGCACGCATAGCACTTGGACACCAAAGCCGGAGCCGCTGGGGGGTCTTGCATGTACCCGTTCGCGGTCAGATCGTGGGGACGTTTGCAGCAGTTCCCTCGTTTGGCGTCCCCGACTCCATGATCATATCCGAGGAGGGTTCATCTCAGCGTGATGCGCGTGCCGTTCGCGTGCAGACTGTGGGAATGTCTCGACCAGTTCGATGGTTCCGGCACCACCGACCCCCTCCGTTCAGAGCCCCCATGACCACCACGATTCATGGGGCATGGCATTGGGCCGCCCCATTTGAAGCCGCCAGGCATATGCCCTCTGGAGCCCCTCTCGGGACGTTTTGGGGGCCTCTTGGGGCTGGGGGCGATCTTGGGGTGATTCGAGGGCCCCTCAGACTGGCTTTGGGGCCTCTCGGGGCCCCCTTGGCCCGTTTGGGGGGGGCTCGCTTGCCTTGACAAAGTCGTGCGCCAGCACAGGGAAGCCCTGATGCTCGGGGCTGTGTGCCCCTCAGCTCGGATCGCATCTCGTATCTGACGGGTCGTGCCTCGAGGCAGCACGGTGGCGGGCACATCCCACGAGCGCCAACCGCCGCGCATTCCGAAGGTGCTTCGTCACGGGCTTTACGCAAGGGCCCCAACAGCTCCACGGCGCGTGTGACAGAAGCTGACTTCACCAAGTATCGGTCTCATTGGAGGGGCGATGAGTTGCTTGATGAGGAGGGGATGGCGAGGAGGAGGGGCAGACGGGAAAACGGATGGGGAGACATCTGGGAGCACCCTCCCGGCCCCCTGTTCCTGATGCACATTCCCCCTCAGGCCCTCCCCCCTCTTCCCCCTCAGCAGACAACTTTTTCCCTCCTCTCCCCTGTGCCCTCTTCTCCGAGGTGAAGCCCTGCCGCCTACATTCTTTTTGTTCGGCTGATCAGGGGGGAACACTCCCCCCCATCCCAGCCGTCACCCTTCACCCCACCTCTCCCCGTTTCCAAGACGTGAAGATCTGGACCTCCTCCCCACTTCGCGAGAGAGAGAGAGAGAGGACAGGGGAGCATTCACCCATCCTACCCCGTCTCCTTCTCCCCCCGCCCCCCTCTCTTCCAGTGGCGAGGCGCTGCAGAGTCTGCAGCGCAGGCCCCCCTCTCTTCCAGTGGCGAGGGTCTGCAGTGCAGACCCCCCGTTTCCTGGGGGGAGAGGGGGGGGATCCTTGGGCCCGCCCTGTTCAGTGCTAACATTTCCCGCTCCTCCTCGAGACGCTGGCCCCCCCACCCCCGGCACCGCTGCCAGGCTGCCCAGCGGCGACCGGCTGCAGCGGATTTTCCGCGCCGACCAGCGCCTGGAGGAGGCCGCGGCGTGGCCGTTTGGCTGGCGGGTGGCGACGAGGGAGGAGGACGGAGCAGGAGCAGTAATGGGCAGGAGGAGGAGGAGGAGGAGGAGGAGGAGGAGGAGGAACGGCAGTAATTGCCCGAGGATGAAACTATGCCGATACCGCTGTTCGCCCTGGAGAGCACTCGTCGCGACGGTTGGATTCTCATCGAAATTCTAGTCAGAGCGCACCCCAGAGATTAAACGGACGGTGGAGGATTGTACCGCATCGGCGATGAGGTGCGATCCTCGACCGCTTCTTCTCGCTGGCCCCAACTAGGATGTCCCCACCACAGCAGGAGGAAAAGAAAAGGAAGAGGAGGAGAGAGAAGATGATCTCTGATAATTGACACTTCATTCCACCTCCGTTCCCCAAGTAATTCCCCAATCAGCGCTTGCACTGAAGGGTCCTAGCGGATGTTGAAAGATTAGGCGAAAGTTTTCGGCCGATTTCGGTGGGCGGACGGGTTCCCGGGTTCCTGGGCTCCCGCTTCCGGGTTCCTGGTTGCTGGTTCTGGGCCGATTTCGGTTGGCGGCAGGGTTCCTGGGTTTCCGGGTTCCGGGGTTCTTGGACGATCTATTTATCGATCGATCTCACCATCATTACCGATCTTTCAATCGACTCCACGAGCGATCTCACAATCGATCTCACTATTGATCGCACGATCGATCTCACGATCGATCTCATTATCGATCCCACTTTCGATCTCAATTTCGATTGCACAGTCGATCTCAATATCCGAAAGAGCGCGTTCTGTGGTCGCTTGGAGGGGGGGGGGTTGGAACTGGACCCCCTCTCCATCCCCTACATCTCCTCTCTCCCTCATCGGGCCAGCGCCTGCGGCAGCTGGCGGCGGCGGCGGCGGGGACGACGATTTCCTTTTCTGGGTCGGCGCCAGCGCCGGCGCCTGCGGCGGCGGGCGGCGGATGCGGGGAGCGACGACGAGGACGACGGTGGTGGTGATGGTGGTGGTGGGTTGTGGTGGTTGTGGTGGTGGTGTGGTGGTTTGTTGTGGTGGTGGTTGTAGTGGTGGGTGGCGGTGGTGGTGGTGGTGGTCGTGGTGGTGGTGGTGGTGGTGGTGGTGTGGTGGTGGTGTGGTGGTGGTTTGTGGTGGTGGTGGTGGGTTGCGGTGGTTGTGGTGGTGGTTTGGTGGTGGTGGTGGTTGTGGTTTGTTGTGGTGGTGGTGGGTTGTGGTGGTGGCGGTGGTTTGTAGAGGTGGTGGTGGTGGTGGTGGTGGTGGTGGCGGTGGTGGTGGTGGTGTGGTGGGTTGTGGTGGTGGTGGGTTGTGCTGCTGGTAGTTGTTGTGGTTGTGGCGGTTGTGGTGGTGGCGTGGTAGATTATGGTGGTGGTGGTGGTAATGTTGGTGGGTTTTTGTAGGTGTGGTGGTGATGGTGAGTTGTTGTGGTGGTGGTTGTGGTGGTGGTGGTGGCTGTGGTGGTGGTAGTGGTGGTGGTGGTTGTGTGGTGGGTTGGCGGTGGTTGTGGTGGGTTGAGGCGTTGGTGGTGGTGGTAGTGGTGGTTGTGGTAGTGGTGGTTATCGTTGCTGCGTTCCCGCCGTCGCCAGCGCCAGCGCCGGCGGGGATTTTGACCCCCCCCCCCTTCTCGGCGCCAGGGGGGGGGGGGAATTGAACTCCCCCCCCCCCGCTTTGGGCTGCCTCTGGTCATCGTCGCTGCGTCCCCGCCGTCGGCGCTGTTGGCGGCCGCTGGCGCCGGCGCCGAAGGATGGGGGGAAGGTTTGAACGCCTCCCCCCCATCTTGGGAGGGGAGGGGGAGGGGGGGGTTCGGGAGGAGCGGGTTTTGGGGGGGAAGGGGGTCCCCTTAGTTTTGATCAACGACGCCGAGTGTTGGGGGGGCTGGTTCGAAACGCGCCGCCGAACGTTCCCAAGGCAAGCGCCAGTGAAACGCGTTCTTTCCCAGATACATATCATTAATTTTCAAACCAGACGCTGATAGGGTTTTTCTATAGTGTACTTTTCACCACCATACCCTCCAAATGGCACCTGGCCTTGAGGGGCGCGGTGACTTCCTCCTGTGGACTGCATGCTTGTGTAGGTATTTGAGTATGGTCCGGCTGAAATCAGGCCGACCTGAACGTGTGTGCGTGTGTGCGTGTGTGCGTGTGTGCGTGTGTGTGTGTGTGTGTGCGTGTGTGTGTGTTTCGGGGGTGGGGCGCGTTCCGCCGCTTGGACGTTCTACGCTTCGTCTTCGCGTGCGGGGTCGCGACACCAAAACGTGGGCCTCTGTGTGTGTGTGTCTGTGTGTATGTGTGTTTGTGACTGTGTGTGTTTTTTGGCGCGTATGTGTGTATGTGTGTGTGTGTGTGTGTTTGTGTTTGTGTGTGCGCGCGTGTGCGCGTGTGTGTATGTGTGAGTGTGGTTGACTCGGCTGCGAGGCCCTAGGTGGTCTCTGAATGCTCGGCCGGGCGTAGATGTGCGCGCTTCACTGTTTTCCAACCTTCTACGCCATGTCGCCTCGCGCATGCCGCGACGCTAACAGACAGTGCGCGGGTGTGTTTGTGTGTGGGGGAAAGATGAGAGAGTGTGAGTCTGACGGGATGAGGAGGAGGAGGAGGAGGAGGAGGAGGAGGAGGAGAGGAACTGTGGGCAGGAGGAGGAAGAAGAACAGGAAAAAAAGGCAGAGGCGGAGGAAGACGAGGAGGACGGGGAATGTTGAGGGGGGAGGGATGACGAACAAGAGGGAGTAGAAGGAGGAGGAGGAGGAGGAGGAGGAGGAGGAGGAGGAGAACGACGAGGAGGATAGGGAGGAGCAGGAGGACGACGACGAGGTGGGCGAGGAACAACGCGGGAGGCGAGGTCGACACGGAGAAGGAGGAGGAGGAGGATGAGGAGGAGGAGGAGGAGGAGGAGGAGGAATGAAGAGGGGAGGGGGAGGCGGAGCAGGAATGAAGAGGGAGATGAGGAGCCTGATGGGCACGGGGGGCATGTGAGTTTCGACGCGGGGAGGGGCATTCAGTTGGACGGGGACAGGCGAGGTCCTGTACGAAGAGAGGGGACGCGGCCGAGAAACAGGAGGACGGGAAGGATGGGGAGGAGGTGGGTGGGGAACACGTACGATGGAGCCGGAGGGGGACGAGGACGAGCAGGAGTTGGGGCAGGAAGGCCGCGGAGGTCACCACCATGAAGCAATCGCATCGCGTGGGCACCCCAAGGAGGAGCCGCCAGGGATTGGGATACTTGTCAGGGAGGAGGAGGGGGAGAAGGAGGATGAGGAGGAGGAGGAGAACTCAGGTGAAGGGGGAAGGATGACCGCCAGGCGGGACGAGGAGGAGGAGGAGGAAGAGGAGGAGGAGGAGGAAGAGGAGGAGGGACGGCTTAGGACGGAGGGGGGCGCAGGAAGAGAAAGGCGGACTTGTCTTTTTGACG